GTAAGTAGAGAGAGAGAGAGAGAGAGAGAGAGAGAGAGAGAGAGAGAGAGAAAGAGAGCGATATATACTGGATAACTTTGGGATCCAATTAAAGTGACGGCATGTTAACGAGTATCGAAATAGTATCGTTACTATAGTGATGCATCGATTAACCAGCTCGGTTCGGAGCCATCTACGATGTAAACGATGCGTGGGCGTAATCCATCCTAAAATTCGACGCGCGCGAGACACGCGTGAAGTAACATGAAACGTTCCTAATGACGTTGCCATAACAATTTATAATTTACTAACTTAATTTTCTTATATGTAACAACATATTTTATAACATTAAAGTACTAACTACATAAAAAAAGTTTAGTTGTGTTAATAATTATTTAATATTAATATTAATATTAACAAAATTTAATTGTTTTAATAATTTCAACATACTAAAAATTAATTATCTAAGCTCTTCTTTAAGTACTTTTTTAACATTAAAAAAATAACTTGCTTTTGTTTGAAAAATTTAAAAAATATGAACGTTTAAAGTATTTTTTTACATAGCCGAAGAAATCAATAATTATTAAGAATTAAAGAAACACGAGAATTAGAAAACGAAACAGACAATATGTGAAGAATAACAATATGCTTGTGTCAATATCTTCACAGATGAATCAAGTAAGACAACAGTCGTGATAAGTGTGCTTGTTAAGAAACACCCTGCGGGGGTGGCGTGAAGGATAACTTAATGGGGAACACGTTGAGGATACAAAATAGACTACGGAAGAAAGCAGGCTCGTTAACGTCGATCGCTTCATGTTTCAGAAACAACGTAATTGGTCAATTATCTGTCAAAACTTTTTTAGACTTTAAAAATTGTTCATCAGTTATCCGTCTTATTCTTAATGTGTGAAATTTATCAAATTTTATTTTTTTATATAATATTATGGAACATGATATTATAAATTATTATATAACTATTATTCTTAATTATTATAATAATTTAGTATCTTTTAAAATATTTGTATTAGGAAACTATTTATTAATCTTAGCAAGAAATATTTTTATTAACCTAATATATAATATGAAATTATATTATGTTAATTAAAAAATTATAATTTTATGATTCATATAAATATACAATAATTTTAACAATAAGTTCCTATGTATAAATATAGATAGAAATATAAAATATAAATATTTACTTTTAGGAAATAATGTATCAAAAAATTTTTAAAGCTCTTCAAGAGTGATTTTCGAGAATTTTATCTTCCCTTGATAGCTTTATCTTCATTATCTTCCAAAAATTTTGTTCAGTTAACAAATACTAATTATCTCAGCAAGGTGATGTCTGAGCAAGGTGATATTTAAAAATGAATCTTGTACCATGACTATTCTGAACTGTCCACCGTTTCCAATCTCAAAGCATTCGAATGCAAGTACTTCAGATCAAAACCTGGCACCAAGATGGTGGATCAGCGGACGATAGGCGCGGCCGGACGACGCTGTTGGTCCGAATACGACCAATCAGGATTGGACAAAAGTTGGTACGACGATGCCACGCCATCCACCACGTCGGAACACGGCGCATGCCGAGGAATCACGAATTAAAATACCTTGCTCTATACCCTCGACAGTCGCCCGTCGACCCGTGCGTTATACGGTTGCCTTTCGATAACTTATAGTGCGAAGAGAGAGAAGAGAGAAAAAGGTGCATTAGCCCCGTGATTGCCATCATTATCAACGTAGTGCGGAAACGTTCGGTTGATTAGAAAAGAGTTGTCAAGTTGATTAGAAAAGAGAACAACTTATAAACATGGACATAAACAATTATTATCAATAAAAATTCTTTAAAATTTCTTTCGCCAAGTGTCGTTGTAATAATCTGTGTTTTTTCTTCTGCAAAACTCTGCAGAATTGTTGATGATCAAAACTCGCCAGATAATTAACAGCATTCGTTGATCTTTACATAATGATGATAATATCGACATTGTATAATAGTCAGCATATAAATGTAAGAAATTCTGTGACGGAGTTTTATCTTATATTAATGCTCCAAACAAGTTTAATTGTTTATGACTGTCAGTTTTATTCAATGTCACTATAATATATGAAGAAACCGAAGATTATATTTCATTAATCAAAGTAAGATTTTATATTCTTAGATATCATAATTTTTATAAACCTGTGCTGTAATTACAATAATTACAATAATTACAATAATTAATAGTGTGTCTGTAAAGAAATCAAGAAATTCAAGAAAGGATTAACAATAATACAGTGTAAGTTTTTTTAAATTTGTGTTAATTCGAATACATGAAAAACTGTGACAAGTGCCAAAGTACGTCAAATCGAAAAGCATAGTTATCGTTAACAAAATGTAAATTATCTTATAAATATGCTAACTGCCATACCAAATTAAAAGACTAAGAGTTAATAGTGTGATAATAGATTAACAATAATTTCTACTTATTACTATATAAAAAAAAACGACAAAAGAAAAGAAAACAATTAGTAAATTGACAGAAACGATCATTTAAATCATCAAAGCTTGCTATAAAATGTGCCATAGCTATTACAATGCAAAACGCAATATTATTCAAAACAAACGAAAACAAAAGATTATAAAATAATTGTTATTAACGAATATAAAACGCCTTAATACTAATTACTAATTTTAAACTAATGCTGCGACTCAATTTAACATTGATAACTTGAAAAAAGCCATTTTAACAATTACAACTCTTATTTAGTGTACAACAAAAACCACAACTCAAATTGCAATTTAATTTCCTAGCCTACTCCTACAATACTAAAATTTAACGGAAGATCGAACTGGAACATTACTTCTTAATCTCGAGAGGAACGGAAAGTACTGTGCGTGAAAAGAGAGATTATGTTCCGCGCGTAGTGCATCGAATTGAGATTGGTCCCGCTCGATTTTGGACGCTGGTCCATAGAGTCCAAAAAAATCATGGACGTGAGCGTGGAGGAGACCGAGCTCGACGTCGGCTCGGCGAGCGACGAGTTGGAGTCGTCGGCCGCGGAAGCGAAGCTCGCGCGACGTCCGACGCCGCGGCCTTTCACCATCGAGAGTCTGATCGGCAGCGCACGCGAGGACCACGACACCGGCAGCGGCGGCATCGCGCGAGATGACCGGACGAACGGAAGCGAGGAGGAAGAACACCGGGACCGGGAATACCAACTCTATCAGAGGCACTATCTGGCAACGGCGGCGGCAAGCACCCTACCATCGGGTGAGTATCATCGTTTTGCTCATATTTGCTTCAATATTTGCTACAATTAAATCGGCGATATTAAACATTATCGATTAAATTTTAAGCCATTAAATTTTTAAGAAAACTTAATTGTTCAATTATTTAAAGATATGTAATCTTTGAAATATTTTTAATGCGAAAGTGATGTAATCCAGCCGATTGATCCTGAGACTTTCCGATGACGAATGATGTTTCATTTGTATCCCTGACAGAGATATTAAAATTAAAGGATTTGTATATTGTAATATTGATGATATTGCAATTATGAAAACTCTTTAATACAAACGCGAGATCTTAAAATTGAGATTTTTTTGCTTATATTAGGTATAAAGCAATTGTAGTTTATTAGTGTTTTTGAAGAATTTCATTAAACATTGAACATTATTACATTGAACAATGTTCGTATTGGCTATGTTACAATATTTTATAATAGCTTTGTGGACAGGAACGATACGGATGTGAACAAAAAGTTAGCGTCGCGACTGCGGCTTAAAATACGAGAGCTACAAATACATAAAAATGAAAAATCGATAACTGCAGCGAGGAGACCGCGTTACATCTACATGTCTGCTGTATTTCTAATATCTGACGTTCATTCAGCGTTTACCAATACTTCCTTTAATCTATCTTCAATAACAAATCTGACAAAAATGATTAGAAAAAAATTAGAAGGTTAAAAATACAGTATTGTAACTCATAAGGAATAATTCATATAGGATAAAAGATGATTTCTATTAGAAATGTAATTTCAACTATGATTCTTTATAGCAAACTTAAAAATCATAGAATCTTTATAAAAATGTGTATAATAGATGACATTTTTGCTGTGCAGTTCATTATTTTATTCAATTTTATTCTCATTTTCTGTCAACTAATTTTAAGCATTTCTCATTTTCTGTCAACTTTTATTTTAATATTAATAATAAGTAAAACTTCAATAATCTTTCAAACGCAAATTAATGTCTCTCTTGTCAATATCTGTGTATATTAAACTGAGAGCTATTCAGAAATTTTAATTAATGAAAAAAAAAAATTTTTTATTTCTCATAAGCAATAGTTACAAATTAAACACGTTATAATGATCACGTTATATAATCATCTCATATAATTTCATTTACTATATGAGTATGTATTTTCTTCCTCGCGTTAATTCATAAGCATCATCTTCCGACGGAAGAATTATGACGCGTATTAATCTAGTAACTGATTATAGCTTATATATGCATAAAAAGTGTTAATAATTATATTTGGAGAGTTACATACGCGTGTAAATTAAATAAAGTGATGCACATATTAAAAATTACAGTTTATTTATCATAACATTAGACATACATAATCTTGAATTTTAAGATAATTACATAAAGACCATCCGTAATGTGCTCTTTTTATAAAGTTACAATTGAAGTGCAATTAATTATAATAGATAATTGTATATAAGATGTTGCTTCTGTAAAATATTATTCTTTTGTATTAAAAGTGTCGTAGTGTCTAAGCGATCCTTCAAAACGTGAAAAGATACCAGGTGCTGGTGATGTTTCACAGACTATAATCTGTGATCACGGATATGCACATAATTGAAACCTTCAGAACCTACCGTTTTTTCTTATGCATTTTATATCTAATTCATTGTGCAGTACGACACAGTTAATTTCAAACCTTGTCGTTACATGTTAATTAACAACGTAATACTGCTGCATTCAATGGCCATAGATATTCCTGATAGTATTGTTGATACAAAAGAAAATTTATGCTGTGAGTTTCGTGAAAAAATAAACATGTATTATTTAAGACTAATTTATTTAAGTATAATGAAATAAAGATTTTAATATAATTATAAATTTGAACGTAATTATATATATTTAAAATATGTGTACTTAAGTAAATGGCAATTAGACACAAGTATAAATGTTGTTTGATAATAAAAAGACGAGATTAAAAAGAGATTGAATGAAAATAAATCGTGAATTATAATTCCTCTTGCGCTTCTATTCATTTATTATTGCTAGTAATGTGACATAGAAAGATTGTCTATGAAGTCATTAGTAGAATATTTAATAGCTATTACCTTATGTGCTAAACAATCAATCTTTGTAGTCTCGTGATCTGAAACATACTTTCGCTATTATTTCCAAAACAATAAAAGATATATGAATTATGTATGTGTGTTTGTGAAAAAATATGATTTCGAATTTTGTTGAAGTACATTTTCAACAAGGTTTAGTCAAAAATAAATTAGTTTCAATTAAATACTTACGGCTATACGACGGAAATTAACGCAATTAATATATAATCACTAAACTAAAATAATTGAATAAATTAAATCTGTTCTCAGACGGATATTTTAGAATAGAATGAATGACGTGACATGTATTACCAAAAGGCGTTCTGGCAAAGCCTGAATCGATCGCTTTCATACATTTTCACGACACAACCACTTCTACATAATTAATCAAGTTATCTACATACACGTATATAATAAATATAGCAATTGTTTATTTAAAACCATTGCCGTTAATTGTGGACAAATCTGTGCAGGTTTCGGCGTACCGCTCGGATTGTACAACGCCTGGCTGCCGATGCGGATGTACGGCGGCAGTGGTGCATCCGGTGTTCCGATGCTGCCGCCGCAGCATCCGTCTGCCGGCTACCCGGCTCACCCGGAATTGCATCAGAGTCGACTGTCGCAGCCCACCACACCGCTGTCCAGTCATCCGCAGGGATACTATCCGTTGGACGGTTGCCGTCGTACCGCGAATCAGCGTGCGCCCAGTAGCTTCACCGACAGCGAGGATGAGGATGGCAGCGTCGGTTCACCAGCATCGCCGGCTCACGACCTCTCTAAATCTCGGCACGGTAAGATGCAACAACCATTTCACATTTCTTTAAAAGAACAAGGAGATAACTAAAAATTAAGCATCTTTTTTTAAATCGCATCGGTGATAATTGCAGAAAAAATAAATAATTGTCGGAAAATTATTAAAGTCATCAAATCATTAAATCATCCAATTTTAATAAAAAAAATAAATTTGATTTTATTTTACACACAATTTAAACAATATAAATAAAGTTAAATAATACATTATTAGAGCACGTATTATTAAGGCACGTTATTACGTCTTTTGAAAATAGTAAATAATATAAAAATAAATAGAGAAATAGAGCACATTAGTAACACAATGTTAAAAATATCTCGTCACACAAGTTAGTGGGCACAATATGAAACTCATAAATAATGTTATAGATTAATTTCAGTTTTCTAAACATAGGCAAATAATACAATTATCTTAAATATATATATTTGATTTCATAATTGATTACGTAATGTAATTGTATACAATTGTCTACAATTTTAAACCTGTCAATAGTATAATAATTTGAAATGAGAAAATGAAAGTCGATTAATGAATGGAAAGGTCTTTAATTCTAGTCTTATTTCTAATCCCCGACGTTATTTAACTCTTGATATATAATAGATGAATTTATCTTGTTCTTGTTCTCAATATACATCTTGATTAGAATCTCTAGATATTTTGAGAAGGTATTATTAAATCGCAATATGATTATACGATAATCAAACACAGAATCGTGCAAAAATAGATGTTGAAGCTAATTCGGTGGTCTCCAGAGAGGAATACAGAATGATCTATAGATCTAATCGCAAAACGGGAAAAACGTTGGGTTCGGCTGTCGAGTATTTACAATTCCAATAGCGTGTCTTCGGTCACGATCGCAGTCGCCACGATCGACCGCAAAGGATCGAGATACACGGTAGCGTGCATAAAATTATCGCGATTCCGTGGCCCGATCTCATCATGTGTATGGGTATGCGTCTAGATTTGTATGAGTATGTGTGAACAATATTCATGATATTTTAGAATATATCCTAGCAGAATTTTTGTACTTTAAAAGAATAATTTCTATCATTAGATACTTAGAATTCTATATTTTTCCATACTTTTTTAAAAAAGATAATCTCTATAAATATTTAATAGATTAGAAGAAATCCTAACTTAATATTAACAAAGAAAAAATTATTTTGAAAATATATAGAAAACTTTTCAACGGATTATAGTAGATATGAGTAACAGGAAATAAAACGAAAGTAGATCATATTTCATTTTTATTAAAAGAATTCTTCACTGGAGATCCTTTCTTCGAAAAAATGTTTCGGATATCTATCTCACGAAAGTTCCAAACGCGTCATCGTTTCAACTGCCGAAAGTCAAAGGATACATAACCGCCGATCGCCGATCACGTATTTCCGTGGGGACAATTCCAATGGTGTACAAACGCGCGCATTTATTCGTGGCCGGACACACTTTTTATTGATGTACCGCCGACTGCCGGCAATTTCGTATGCGAGACGAAATGGCTTCGGGGAATCTGTCATCGGTCATTTATGACGCACCGCGCCGAACCGGTGCGTCGATCGTCACGGCGAGGCGCGATCGCGACGTTCCACGAATTCGTCGCGATCCACCTACGTGCGAGCATTGCATCCTCGCGCAGTGTGTGAATTACCGATCCTGGACCTGTCAACGAGAATCGGGAGAAGGGGGAGGAGAGAGAGAGAGAGAGAGAGAGAGAGAGAGAGAGAGAGAGAGAGAGAGAGAGAGAGAGAGAGAGAGAGAG